TGAATATTATAAATAGATTTATATATACATAATATGCATATTTGAACAAATCATTCCTTTTATTCTACTATCTTTTTTATGTATTACATCACATTACAAGCTCACTTGGAAAGTTTATGTTTAACTCGTTAAATAAATACTGCATCATAAATTACAATATATATTTGAAATCATCATCTTATAGGATTGTTCCCAACAGTTATCAGGGATAAAAGTATTTTCATCCAAATTTTAGTTCTAGTTATATGTTCGTTGTATTCAAAGAGAAAAGGAATAGCTATCTATAGTTTAACAAGTTGACTGTACAATGTTTATAAAAAGATTTAATTACCAAATACACGTCTTCTAACATCTTTCAAATACTTTGTATAGATCAGGCAAGTTGGCTATCCGTAATATCGTTGAGTCATGTGCAAAATGTTTAGGGGGAAGCAAGCTTTCTTTAATTGCAGAATATAAAACATGTTCTGTAACATATTTCCAGTCGTGATTATTGTGTACAGGATTCATTTGACTGTAGTATCTCGCAGTTTCTCTGCAAAAACTTTTGAAACAAGATTGTTCTGCTGACCACTCAACCTCGGTAGCTAACCGTAATATGTACAAAGGAAGACCAGCTTCGTATGGAAAATATTTTTCTAAAAGAAAAGAAGAGAAGAATAATAATAAATGATAAATTATGTTTGGAATGTACTTTATCAACATATTTTTACCTAGTAGTACCGGTAATGATTTTAAGTTCCCCTTCTTGTCTATAACAATGGAAAAATATTCCTTTAACATATCTGCCTTTTCCAATAAGAGTTCCTTAACACTTGTTGCTAGTTCTTCCTTCGTTCCATCTTCTTCTGTCCAACCAGCCTCCTCTGTGTCTAATCCCAACAGAGCTAAATCGTACACAGGAATTGCGTCCTAAAAATAAATACAAATTAAAGTACAACTTATAACAGTTCTCTCTGCTGTCTTTACACTTACAGAGAATCTAATGACTCCATAATTCGCGAAGTCGTAAAGCATAATTTCGTAGAACAGCTCCTCTCTGAAACAAAGAGATACAATAATTTGTATAATTTATAAAACTAAAAATACTTAGGATATAGTTCAAATTTTTCTCACGCCAATTTCTTTGTATTGCAAAGATATAAATTCACTCCACTCTGAATTAGTGCAGAGCATTCGTCTATACAACCAACGAAAGTTAGTTCTGATAAAATCTGTCTCAACCCTTCGTGTGATTCATCTTCTATCTCTTTCCGTAGTTTTAACACGCTCGTTAATTTTACTTCTCTTCGAAAATTGTTTACTGAATATGATTTAAACTCGTGAGAACTTTTAACGTCGTCATTCTTGTTGCTATCAGTTTCCATTTGTTCCTCCGAATGTGTTGCATCTGCATTAGATTTATTATCAGTCTCATCTTTTTTTGTTTCTTCCTTGGAAGGACTAGATTTTTCTGCAGCATTTTTCCCTTCGATCGTGACAATTTTATTTCCAAAGTATTTATATACTTGTTTACGTGCTTTATCCGCAATCACATCGATACACCGTTCTTCTGTGGATTCATCTGCTACACTCTCATTTATATTGTCAAAGATATCTTCCACAGCATCCATATTATTTTCAGTTTCATTAAATGAAGATGAAACTATATTACAAGTATCACCTACTAATTGCGACGATGTAGATGGACTGGATTCATCTATTATTTTACTCCAGGGTGTATCACATGTTTTTGTTTCTAATACTTGGATGTTTTCCAATTTGTCATCTGTGTTTACATCTGGTTGTAAATTCTGTTCATCTGCTCTTCCATGATTACTAGCATCTTCCTTTTCGTCTATCACTTCACTCATTTCTATTTCATGTGATACATCTTGGTCTAAATTTATTTTATTAGGTGGAGAATCATTTTCAGATTTATCAATTTGTAAACTGTCATCGTTTCTGGCATGTTTCATTGCTGTGTGAATGGTAAAATTAAATTTATCCAACTTCTGATCAGACGAGTCGGTTCGTATCATTTCTTTAGGATGAATTTTCTTTCCGTTATCGGTGCTGTCTTTCTCATATTCCGGTAAGACTTCTTTCAATACTTCTTTGGTAATATCAGCCTTCGGTAATCGCGCCTGCACGTAAAATGTTCTGGAAGCACTGTTTCCTGATAATTTTTCATCTAACGCGAATTTTATTCTTTCAATGATACAACTTTCGTGAAGAAACCTAACTTCGTGTTTTGTTGGATGCACGTTCACATCAACGTTTTGTGGATCGATTTCTAAAGATATATAACAAAATGGATGGGTTTTCTTTGGAAGATAAAAAGAGTAAAGCTCTTCTAACATTTTACGAATCACTGGAACAAAAATACTTGTAAACTTCACAGTTCAAGCACAAAAAAGTTTCCAGTGGTCTGAAACTTACGAGAGGATTCAACCAATCTGTTATTAATGAATAACAGAAACACCATCTTCTTATTTGTATAATTTGGATTTGTTATTAGAGCATGCATTTTGAATTTATAAGCTTCATCTGTATATTCAACTTCTAATAATTCCCTGAAGACTGGATTGCCATAAAGCACTCTTATATTGTTCATCTTCGTGGAGTTATGTTGTGTACGAACCTAAAAATGTAATGCACATCAGTATCAGTAGTTAAGAGACTGAAAATATTCTTTAAACAACAAAATACCTGAGGTGTTATTTCACCGTGTTTTTTCAGCACAAATCCTGCAGCAGGATTATGAACTGCATATTTTGTGACTACATCTGTAATTTTGTTGAACTCCTCGGGTATGCTTGACAGAGCTTTCCTTCGTGTTGCAACATTGTAAAATAAATTTTCAATCATTATGGTAGTACCTTGGTTTCCAGCACATGGTTTTGGTGGAGCTTTTAGTTTGCTATCAATATATGTTGCCCTAACACAAATGAAAGAAATTATTAATAGAATAATTTCAAATTTGCCCAGTATCTATCAACAAAAAATTTACATACTTATATGCACACTTCTCATCAGCTGTTTTTGTTGTGATTGTCAAGAGTGCAATATGACTAATACTAGCCAAAGCTTCACCACGAAACCCAAAAGTTGATATTGATTGAAGGTCCTCAAATGTTTGTAACTTACTTGTTGTGAATCGTTCACAAACAATTTCCATGTCATCCTTTCTAATCCCAGTACCATTGTCTTGTATCTAAAAAGAATGGGGACTAGTAAGTTTCTTATAAGTGCTGTTTTATTTAAACCATACCAAAACGTACCTGTAATAATTTTAAACCGCCTTCTTTGACGATGATTTGAATGTTGGTCGCTTTGGCGTCAAGACTGAAACGTTTATGACAAATTAATTCGAGCAAAGTATCGCTCGAGATAGTATACGGACTTGAATGTCTAACCTGTTCTCGATTAATTCTTTTAAAGCATTCGCTGGTCTTTGAATTACCTCGCCTGCTGCGATTCTGTTCACTACAACCTCATCTAATTTCTTAATTTTTCCCGGTACATTCATATCGAATGACGCAATTTCCAATCTCTGATAGAAAGTTCAAGAAAACATTGGTAACCAAATTATTACGATAAATGATACCATAATGGAAATAAACGATTATTACAGCACACGTAACGCAATATAATTAAATCGAATATAATACAGAAATAAATAAATATTGGATAGAAAATGTTCTTTATAATTTGACCAAAACTACGTCGCACCACATGACCACAAACATTGTTTTCGCGCCAAAATGTGCAAAGTAGTGCTAAAGAAATATTACAACGAAATTTAAATAGGGAAGTTCAATAAAATACGTAATAGTAGATCATTTTTAAGTTTATTGTTGTATACTTTATCATTTTATATCAACAATTAACAAAATGTTACATCATTTTAGAAAACGAGTGATAAAAGATAGGGTTGTATCTTGTTGAATCCAGTCATATCAAAAGTGCGTATTGGTAATTGTAATTAATTCTTCTGTAATTTGAAAATTAGTTTAAAATTAGCGTGGCGTCATCTACGGCAAAGTTGTCAAGCTAATTGCCACATTAGTGCTTGTTCTTGTCGTTAGATGGATTTGCTTTTCTGTTACCCTTACATTGTCAGCCACGTGCGTTTTGATTGATACACTGTTTTGGCGGAAAATCGGTGCAATAGTTTGAGAGTTGTGTTCAAAATTGAAAAAGAAAATGCCAAAGTGTAGGGTTTGCGGTGGTACAGATTTCTACAAGGAAGCTGGATATTTTTTCTGTCAAACGTGTCAAACGCAACACGAGGTATGGTAATTTTATTTTCATTCTTGAAACGTTACTTTACTAACCATACTTCTTTGTACAGGATATCAGGGAAGAAGTTTTAGAATTACACATAGATAATAAAACTAGATTGCGAAAAACGAAGATCAGACAGTTAAAATCCCAGAGCTCAGGTTAAATATTATTTGTTATCTCATTTGAAAACACAATTTCCAATGCTTCATAATGTTTATTAATGTAAATCTTGCCTACCAGGCGAGGAACTTGGATGGACATCATGGGAACTTTATAATTTTATATTGATTGGGCTGTCGAATGAGTTGATAGAACTTGGAGTACCACCTGACATAAAGTTAACAATATTACAATTATGGGCAACATATTTAGGAAAATTGGAAGTAGCATTTATTTCGACAAAGAAAAAATGTCTGCCAAGATTGGCCAAAAGATATAATAAGAGGTAAATTAATATAGATTTAAAATATCATATTGACAGTGTTTATTATAAAGCTTCTTCTAATAGGGATGCAGAAATTATTTATGGTAAAACACAACAACAAAAGAGGAAGAGAAAGCGTAGAAGAACTGGGAGTAGTACAAATACTTCTGTTTCTGTTTCTGGTTTGCAAAGTGAGGGGAGCTCTACACGGGAACTTAATAAAAATAAAGTAACTAATTTATATATTATTTACTGAGGGAAGAGTATAACATTTGTATTGAATCATGTATAAATCAACTTTTTTCAGAAACTTTTAATAACTGCAGACTATGATAGGTATCTTCAATCTCAAGGTAGCTCTGAAGTTGATGGTCTTAGTATGTTTAGTCAAAGTGCGTATAGCGTTCAATCTAGTTCAGTAAATTCTTCAGATGACAAGGCAAAGTATGTGTTAGTTCATAAATGATAGCTGATAGACTTGAAAAACAGTTGTATAATTTTTTATCCTTTTAGAGTTCAATTCAGTTCTCATGCTAAGGAAGAAACAAGAAAGATTAAAAGATTATCTAAAAATTTACCTAGAAATAAAAGAGTCAATTATAGAGCAAAACATATAAGTACTCGGTACAGAGTAGGACCTCATGTAATCACACCAATGAAGTTGTGGGCAATCATATATCTAGCTCTTAGAATACATAATCAACCTATACAATTAGGAGATATGTTGAGGTACACAATAAGAAACAAACATTATTCTTGATCTAGTTTTATTTATGGAGGCTTCTCCTTTTAGATATGGCAGAGAAGGACATTTGTCCTACTATAAACTAGACCACTTGTTGCCACCAGAAGTGAATATAACGAAAGATTCAACAAATTTTTTAACACAAAACGTTGAAATCACGCATAAAGGAATGAGACAACTCATTGCAAGTATGGCAAAACTTCTTGGAGTTTGGGATATAGCTTGTCCTGAACTTTTGCCATTAGTAAATAGATATTGCCAAGAATTATGTTTACCAAGTATGTATATTACTATACCACTATTTGCTCTATTTGGACTATGATTTATTTTCAATGGTATCATATTATTAGAAGGTATACAGCTATACACTGAGAGGCTAATAGCTCTATCCCCACCAAAGATGATATTCAATGCAAAGAAGTCTAGCATTCCAAATTATGAAGGACGCGTAATGGCATTTATTATTGTGGTATTAAAAACATTATTTGCTCTGGATGATGTAACTGAGTACCATATTAGCAGAATTTCAGAGAAAATCAATAGGTGAGTCAAAAAAGATGAATATCTATTATGTGTGACTTCTGTATGTCAAATTATGGTTCATGTTTCAAACCACAAAATTCATAATTATATTGTCAATCATATCTATTGAATATATTCTGGTATCTTCTGTACATTTTGTGAGAAATGCAGCTTGAAAAATCTCGTTCCCAACAACAGCAAAAAAAATCTTACGATGATCTGCCCAGTAAATTACATAAAAGATTAGGAGCTGGGGAATGCAAATGTTCCGAAAATAATTATCCGTGTATTATTGTACACGGCGGCGCAGGAAATTTCAATAATGATATAATCATGGAAAAAATAACTGGTTGTAAAAAAGCTGCTATCAATGGTTATAAGAAATTGATAAATGGCGAAAATTCGATAGACGCTGTAGAGGCTGCTCTATGGTGGTTAGAGTGTGATGAATTTTACAATTGTGGTTACGGGTCTTGTTTAAACGAAAAAGGTACCATCATAATAAAACTATTCTTTAATACAAAATCCAAACTTAATCCACACATACCAATGCACTTAATGCAGGAGAAGTGCAAATGGATGCAAGCTTAATGGACGGTTTATCGTTCAAATGTGGGTCAGTAGCAGCAGTGTCAGACATAGAACATCCTATTACGCTTGCAAAATATGTGTTAAATAATTTTCCAAATACAATCTTTGTGGGTGATGGTGCTAAGAATTTAGCGAAGCATGCAGGCCTAAATTGTATATCCAAAGGGAACCTGATAGCGCCAATGGCATGTATAAAAGTAGAAGAAGAAGAAGAAGAAGAAGAATTGGAAGCCCACATCGACAATTTAAGTTTACTGGGAGCTGATATGTTAACAAGTAAATTAAATCCTTTGGATACGACAGACCTGTATTTATTTAGCTACTGTTTGTAGACAGTTTGGATACCGTTGGCTGCATAGCTTACGATGGACACAGTATTGCTGTTGGGAGTACAACAGGCGGTTTAAATAAGAAATTAGTAGGAAGGGTAGGAGACGCTTCCATCTTAGGTTGTGGAATTTACGCTACCAGGAACGTTGGTTGCGCCGTGACAGGGCATGGAGAGTCTATAATAAAATTGGGATCAGCACGTGCCGTTGTAGATGACATTCAGCTCGGTTTCACCGCAGAAGAGGCTCTGTACAAACATTTCTCTCGCATGTCAGAGAAATTTGACAAAGTCGGTGGTGCAGTTGTGCTTCAGTCGAATGGTCGTTGGACAACTTATTTCACCTCTGACAAAATGCCTTACGCGGTAATCGAAAATGACGTGATCACGTCTGGGGCAAGAATGCACGAAGAGAGAAGAGAATTGTACGCCGCTGATAGTGCAGCAAATTGTGGATGCGACTGTCTCGTTGTAATTACACCTGTAATACTGGAAAAAATGTCCTTGTGCGTTTTATGAACGTACAAATATTTTTTGTTACAGCTTGGCTATTGAACGAGGTTTGTTGACTGAGAAACTGTTTAGTTTTCGCGAGTGGCAAAGATACATCGAGGGCAGGAAGATAATTTTATCTTACTCGCACTTCCCAACGAAAGTGAAGTATTGCCCGGACCTGCGCGGCGTAGATGATCTATACCTGAAGTACCTGGAATTCCTCACCTGCAAGTCGGATAAAAAGGAATCGGATATTAAAATGTCTAAACACTGTCTGCCAGAGGAACTCATTCACGCCATGAAGAGGTACATTATTAATTTAAGCTCCAACGATGGCCCACTAAAAGCGATGGATATATTTCCACCATCTTTGACTCCGCTTCATTCGTATTTGCAATTTTTACTGGACCAGCCCAGTTATGACATTCCCCTTGTCATGAGGGAGAACTTCTTTCTCACAAAAGTGGGATATCTGACAAAACCTGTTTCGTGAGTAGTCTGACACAATTATCCCTGGACAAATCATCAAAGTGAGAAGCGAGAAGTTACACTGAATTTCTTTTTCCATTTTCAGTCTTACAGAATTAGCGGCGCAATGCGATATAAAGCTGAACATTGTAGATTCAAATTTGCACTTCCTTGAGAAGATTGTGCCTCCCTTTGAACTTCCTAAAATGCCAGGCGTAGAAGAAATGAAGGAACTGGTAGATGTGCAGGATTATGGGAAGGACCAGTGCGAGGAGAAATGTGAACACATCAATGATTACTTAGACAGGAAGAGGCCATGTCAAGTGAAGTTCGATATTTCCAAGGAACTGTATTATAACAGTATTAGATCTCTCACGAAGATCAATTGTGATAGTAGCACAAAAGACGATTTTACATTTACTGATATATTACCGGATGGTAGACTAGCAATTCCTGACGACGACAGCGACATCAAGACGGAGGAGGACAAAGGATTAATTAGTAATATTGACATAGAAAGTATACTACTAGAGAACAAATTGTGTAAACAGTACAATTTACAACTGTCGCGCGCGGAGAAGGAGACAATTGTCAAACCGAGTCTTCTCAACATGTTGCTCTATAAGAAAAGAAGATTCAGATATTTTCGAAACGCCAAGGGTCAGTTCGTTAAAGGATCTAACATGGTTGTGGAACTTACAAAGGAACAACAGGATCCTCTATCCGACGTGAATGATTCAAGTTTAATTACTGGCACGCAAATGAGTATCATGGAAGAAGTGTCTTTCAATCTCTCGAAGACTCTGGACGAAAATTTCTTTTTATCAAATGGTATAGACATCAACAACATAGACATTGATAACATGGACATCGACACCAGCTTCTTAAACATGGCGGACCCTTTAAATTTAAGCGATCTCTCCGCGTTTCCTGACAACCTTCTCTCCACGTCGGCGAATGAGAGAAACCAGAGCACAGGCAACGATGAGTTCCCGTTTTTTAGACCCTTCAAAGACTATTGGATGTACCAGTGCATCTTCAGCCACGTGAGACCGAAGAATTTCGCTGTGTTCGAGAACTCTTTACCGCAGAACTTCCGTTGGCTGTTGAACGAGTGTGCACTTGCCATCGAAACGTCCACAGAAGATCTTTACGAGGAAGTTTGTTTAGTAGAGACATATCTCGCGTACGTTTTAAAGAATCCGTATTCCGATGACAGGGCTAGCAGCACGGTTAACAGGCTGAAAAATCGACTGAACTTAATATTAAGTAAGTGGTGAAGTCGCCAATCGACTGCAACGACGCGTTGCAATCTAACTTGTTACATATGTAACAATGTAAATGTGATAATAATATAGACTTTTATATTGAACACGCTTTCTTCCGGTGTCTGGAACATGCCAATCAAATCATCCAATTACCATTCGTCGAAAGCAATCCTAAAAAGAGTGTTAACCCTTAACTTAACCCTTTATGGGCCGAATTTTTGTTCATTATTATAACAAAATCTATGCAGTACAAAATTAATAGATATCCACATATGAATACGAATTAAAAATGCATTCAATACTTTCAATAATTTCATCAAACGAATATATTCTGTAACTTTCAAGTTACAATGACGTAAGTTAACTGATTACTTAATTTTATTCACCACTTCGGTGCAAAATGAAATAAACAATCAAATCAATATACTGATATGTGACTTCAAAGTTACATGGGCCTACAGAGGGTTAATATATATAAGATTATAATTTTACAAATCAAATCAAGTGACTAAGAGTCACCTCTCGAATAAAGGGTTAAAATTTTCAAAAAATTCAAAATCAATTCCTCCGATCGGTACGTTACCGACGTCACCATTTACCGACCGCGCCGGATCCTCGTCGCGGCGATATACCGAGTGTCCACGGTGTGGCGGTAGCGTCGAGCAACTGTTGCACTTTCGCGTAAGACCCTTCCGGCGTTTCTTGGTGTGCGTTCCTCGTCCCGAGGCGAGCCTTGGGCTCGAGGGACGACGGGCCGTTTCGCCAGTAGTAAACACACCAGCTGGCGCGAGGGCAGTGTCGGATGGCTCTCATCGTTCCACGGTCTCGCTGCCACGGTACGTCGTCCGTGTGTACGATCAGGCGGCGTTGTGTACGGTCCGGCCGCGTGTGCATCGGCGATCGGTTCTTAAGGAACCCGCACGGGATATTCGTGGCTACGTGCGTGCATGCGTGAAAACCGTTACCGGGGAAATATACACTCTGTTCCCTGTCTCCTGCTGCTGCTCGCCGAGTGGTGCTCGTCGTCCCGTCGTCGTTACCCCACGACATTGCCCGTCACCGAGTTGATACGAAAGTGCACGCCGTTTCTTCTTCTTCTATCGCGCGTTCGTTCCACTCGATATCACACCTACTCCCGTGGTCCTGGGTGTCGTTCACCGAGAGGAACGGAGAGCAAGCGACAGAGAGAGACGCCTCGCAGCCTGCCGACTTCCTGTCCATCGTAAGTCTGCTTGAAATTTACCGATACTGAGCCGTTATACCTGGATCCTGGTACACGCGTCGAAACAATCCACCGTGACCTGGGCGATTAGCTTTTACCTGCATTTCGTTGGAAGGGTACTTTGATTTCATTTGTTTCTGTAGTTATTATTTGTCGGTATTTACGCGTCACACGGTGGGTCGATGGTTCTATGTACGTTGTAATTTTGTTTTAAATTCACCGGTGTTAAGCTACTATGCCTGGGTCGTGGTAGACCCATCGAAATAGTACAATGTAACTTGGATGATTAAAGAGGTTCGTTGTAATGGCACTTTGAGTTCATTTGTTTCTGTAGTTATTATTTGTCGATATTTACGCGTCACACGGTGGGTCGATGGTTATATGTACGTTGTAATTTTGCTTGAAATTCACCGGTGTTAAGCTACTATGCTTGGGTCGTGGTAGACCCATCGAAACAGTCCAATATAACTTGGACGATTAAAAAAGTTCCTTAGTACCTAGCATTTATACATGTCCATCGTAATTCTGCTTTAAATTCACCGGTGTTAAGCTACTATGCCTGGGTCATGGTAGACCCATCGAAACAGTCCAATGTAACTTGGGTGATTAAACAGGTTTACCAGTATCTAGCATTTAGCTCGAATGGCACTTCGATTCGATCCGTTTCCGCAGTTATTATTAGTCGATATTTACATGCGCCGCGACGAAATTGAAACGCAAGTGTCATCATAGCGGAATAATGACAAATGTTAGTGGGTTATATTTGAACCGACCGATGAAGGTCCAAATGGACCTCACAGCTGTCCGCGCAGTCTTCGCGGTGTTAACCCCTTTTTGACCGCAGAATGACGAATTATATTAAATAATTAGTGAATTTAAACTTTCATACACACAGGCGTAAACGTCCAACGTTACTGTAACTTCAAAGTGACACAATATATTCGTTTTAATAAAATTATGAAGACTGTTGAGTACATTGTTAATTTGTATTCGTAGAATGATATTTATTAATTTCATACCGCATAAATTTTGTTATAGTCAGGAACAAAAATTTGGCCGGTAAAGGGTTAACATTGCACTCGAAGGTTTTTCACTAGAAATATGCAACACTTTCTGATACGATGCAGACTATCTTTGAAACTAATTAACGAGAAAACATATATGAATTAAGAAGGAAAGATATTTTATTTCGACATTCCACATATCGATGCACTATACAAAGCTTAATATTACATGTAAGTCTTTGTAATTTTGCTGTATCAAATCAAGCGGTGACTAAGAGTCACCTCCCGAGCGCAAAGGGTTAATTTCCGACGGAGAATTGCGTCCGGATCGACTCCAGTGAGTGCTAAACATTTTCGGACGCTCGCGGATGGGGTAACGGCACGACACGGGCGTGTGTGCGCGCGATTCGCGGCGTCGTCCCCTTCGGCACCGACTTTCATATTAACACATTCGTACCGGCTAATTATCAGAAAATTAAATTGTCCAGATTTTCAGTGAGATCCACTTATATCACTATCTATAAAAAAACTCAGGTATCATATTGTTATGTAATAATATAAAATAAATAAATAATATAAAATAAATATAAAATAAATATAAAAATTTCAAACAGATAACCAATTCGAATGAAATTTAATATTTTTCTAAATGCCGTGGTAATTATCAAAGTTATATAGCTAAGAGTCTTTATATAAAAACGAGATTTCTCGTTACCAGTACGCAATGTGTTAATCGCGTTACATCGCGTCGCGTCAGATACATCGATCCCCTTTCGCTGGCACGTAAGCGCTTCGGTCACCGTGCCTCGGATCGAATCCCTCGGTGCCCCGTCTAATTTCTCAATTTTCCCGTTCTCCTTTCGATCGCCGTTCTTCTCTTGTCCGAGACAACGGAAGTCTCGCGGAGAAGCTGCGTCGTTAACCCTTCGCGGACGGACGTCGACGTTTCGACAGGGTGAAATTGCCGTGTTTCGAAGATTAACTCTTTGGATGTCAAACAACTTTTCTGGATATTTACCAAAAATGAAGTGATTGGATGTGTATGCGAAAAAATGAATAAGAGTGGTTATCTAATGAGATCACAAATATTGTTATTAACAATGGCACTCCAGGAGTGCCTACTACAGTTCCCACAGAAAATTTGGAAAAGTTAATTCGTCTGCTCGGTAGTTCACGTTAATCACGAGTCGATTGCAATCTCAATGCTTGCATCTTTCTGGTTCCCACAGAAAAATTGGAAAAAGTTAATTCATCTGCTCGGTAGTTCGCGTTAATCACGAGTTGATTGCAATCTCAATGGTTGCATTTTTCTGGTTCCCACAGAAAATTTGGAAAAAGTCAATTCGTGTGTTTGGTAGTTCACATTAATCATAAGTCGATCGAAATCTCAATGATTGTAGTCTTACGGTTCCTACAGAAGAATTGAAGAAAGTCAATTCGTTTGCTCGGTAGTTTGTGTTAATCACAAGTCGATCTAAATCTCAATGCTTGCATTTTTCTGGTTCCCACCGAAAATTTGGAAAAAGTTAATTCATCTGCTGTTCCAACGTGAAAGTCGTTATCCACGATCCGAACGAGGGTTTCCGTCGAGCAGACGCTCGGATCCATGAAAGTACGCGACACGCGTGAACAGGCGGCAACGAACAAAATTCCGTTTCCTCGCGAGCGAAAGTTTACAGCGGCACGCGCGATAAAATACAAACTAACGATAAATAATCCGTGAATTTACGCCGCGACTCGCGTTTTATGTAGCTGGGCCCGTGGGCATCGCGAATCATCGGGGACGCTCGGAGCCCGGCCCGTCCCGGGTCGCGCGATTCTTAATGCGGAGGATTTCGGGCCGTAAACCGCGTCCTTTCCCGAAAAAATATGGCCGGACCGTGGACGTTCGTTCGGCCGCAGATATTTATGGACCGATTTACGGGTGCTCTGATGAGAAATAGAAGTCTCTTTGCTTCCCCAGCGCGCTGGGTTCTTTATCGGACAGCGCATAAAATGGGAAGTCTCTCGCGAGGCTTGATTGAAGCCTGGAGAACGGACGGCGGAAGGGTGTACGGGTCAGTTGTGACCCGTAGTCTGAGACCTGGAAGAAAATGTGTAGAAGTTCGATTTGACTGCTAGAATTACTGTTAACCCTTTGCACTCGAAAGTTTTTCACTGGAAATATTCAACATTTTCCGACAAGATATAGACGACATTGTTTGAAACTAATGATAATTCACGGATAATTCAAGCAACGAAGCTATTTTATTTAAATATTTCACATAACAATACTAAGTTTAATTTAAAGTACTAAATATTCAACTTCATAGTTTTGCTGCATCAAATCAAGTGACTGAGTCACCTCTAGAGTGCAAAGGGTTAATTATTGAGTTAATTATTGCGAAGTGATATTAACAATCTATAATCGTAAGACGTAGACGAGAGTTGTAGAAGAGAGAGTGAGACTCGTGACGAAGATTTCGGGATTAGTGTAATAAACACGAATATTGTTCAATGCGCATGGATCAAAGCAAAAAACTATTTTGTTATCACTATATTATCTCGAAAGAAAATTTGTACATAAAGTGCAGTGGACAATTTCTTTTTCCTGCTGATAGAAACATTTTGCACGAGCTTAGCAGGAAAAGTAAATAATTAACGGAGGGAATGTAGTAATTTCTGGAATGATTCGACACGGTCAGGGGCTGTTCCTCTGAAGGTAGCTGCATCGCTAACCCAATGAGGATCTCGGGCAACGGAACAGAGATAATGGAAGAACAGGATGGCACGGCGAAGGGTTTGCCGTTGGCACGCTGGAAAGTATCGTTCCCCGCCCGATGAACCGTTAAACGGTTCGACGAACCGTTCCCTTCGTCGAGTCGATCACGCGTTCCGGCGAACGTGCATCATCGACTGCACATCGTTAACGGGACGAAATCGGCCCGCCCGCGGCATGGAATCGCGTGTACGTGCACGCGTTTTATATTTAGTAACCGCCGCCCGGCCACCGTCGATCGTTACTACGCGTCTTTGGGAAATAAACAATCCGTGGCCGGCGTTCATCGTGCGTGGCGCACACCGGTCCGAGCACTGCTGAAGGGTTCGAACAAATTGTTCGACCCAGAAACGATACTGGGGAGATTACTCGTTGCTGGAAATGTCGGGGGAATTTTGGTACCTTAGGTGAATCAATTTTGATACTATAATTGGAAATTTTTGTAGTTTAAGTGGAGGAACTTTGGTGTCTCTAGTTGAATTTGGTGCCTTAGATGAATCAACTTTGCTACTATAATTGGACAACATTTTTGTAGTTCAGATGGAGGAACTTTGGTACCTCAGCTGAATAAGTTTTGTTACTACAATTGGACAAATTTTCATATTCTAGATAGAGGAACTTTGGTATCTTTAGATAAATTTGGCATCTTAGATGTATCAATTTTGCTACTATAATTGGACAAAGTTTTGTAGTTCAGATGGAGGCAGTTTGGTGTCTCTAGTTGAATTTGGTGCCTTAGATGAATCAATTTTGCTACTACAATTGGACAAATTTTCATATTCTAGATAGAGGAACTTTGGTACCTCTAGTTGAATTTGGTACCTTAGCTGAACTCTTGGTCCAACTGAACTAAATGATCTAGAATACCCTAACCCACGAACTGTTAACCTTTGGTACCCTAGTTCCACAAATACAGCCTACAATATCTAGTACCTTATGACTGGTACCTGAAATATTCCCCCGAAAATTATCTTCCCCTAAACCTCATTATCTTCTCGCCTCGAACAAATCCCTCGAAAACTAGAGAAACTATTCTCGAAGCTTCCTCGGAAGGCTGCAAGAGTTTCTCTTTCCATCCACCGGCTACAATATCGTCATCGAAGATCATCCGAGGCATCCAAGACCGCTGGCGTCGGAAAAATCTTGGTAGCGACGTCTACGGTTAATTGGCGCGGGCAGTTATCGGTGGATCGTACCGGTTAAACGCGCCGCCTCGGTCCCTCCGAGCCGCCGAATCG